TGTGGGTCCAGCAGGCTTCCTAAGCAGACAACTGCCCTGTGGATGGCAGTAAGAGAAAACACTTCGGAGTTAGTGCCCAAGCGCACATCGTGGTTCTCTAAAACCATCAGAAGCAAAGCTGGTTGGTCTAACTGAGCCTGGGCAGGGAGAATTCTGTCAGTGCTCACCAATGTAGAACCAAACCACCTTGCTCTATTCAGCCCAAAAGGCCTCTGAGAGACTTTCTATGACAGTCTAAACATTTCCTGACTTGCGCTCCTTCTGCACACAGCAAGCAATAACTGTAACAATGACAGATAACCGGTTTAGCTAAGAAAGTGGAAAACAAGTCAAAAAAGAAATCACATAACCACTAATGTGTCCAAAAGATCTGTAAACCGATACATGTAAAACAGACTATGAAAGTCATTCTCTTTCTGACTTAAGGAATCTGAGCTTTCACAGGGATGATGGATAATATTACCTGAGTGAGAGGATATCCTATTACAACACTCACAATGTGAAATTCAAATCTTCCAAGGTACAAATATGCTTTTAAGGAAATAATAGAAATTTTAGCAGGTCTCTTATTTGATAAATTTCAATTACTTTATATCTATCATTTAGTCCCTATTTTTTCCCCTGTGGATTCAAAGATCCTATTTTATATGTATTTCACCCACCTCTTAGAGTGGATAGTAAGTAAAAGAATTCCCAACCAATGCATGAAAAGCTAAAGCATGGAGGAGTCTAGCAAATAATAGGAGCACCATCCCCTGCCTTGCCCAGTGTTTTGTGGTCAGCGGGGGCCCCCATGAGCCCTCCTGAAAGTAGCTCCTTGTGGCAGGCTTGTCTTGCCAGCTGAATTAGGGCCGCCTCCATAGGCTCTAACACTTTCATCCAATGAGGCTTCACTTCAGCGCCTACTTTTTTTTTTTTAATGTAGTCTAAGGAGAAACGTGACTGATAACTGCTGAGCCCCTTCCTGCCCACACGCAGACGAGGATATGCAGATGTGCTTGTACTGAAAGACAAGCGTGATCTAGTTTGTGAGTGAAACAGCACAGTACACTTTATCTCCTAATAATGTTTTCATGCCACCGAGCAGATTTTTGAACACTTGTAAATTTAATAATTTTCCTGCCTCTCCTACCCTAAACAACTCAAAAAAGAGAAAAGAAATCCGGGAGAACACCACTATAGACAAAGGGGAGGGATCAACAAGGACTCCAAAACCCTTCCTTTAGCATCAAGCCACAGACAGGCCACCAGTGTCTCGGATGAAGCCCCACCAGGAGCCGTGCCACAGAGGACCTCGGCAGAGGAAGTACTACCTGGTATGGAGGGAAAACGATGCCAACTTCTAAAACTGCTACCTGCTTTTAACAGAATTTTAACAGCAGGCTGTATTTCACAGTGATCACCTCTAGGGAGTGAGAACAGGAAGTGGACTGAGAGCTTTTCCTTTACAATTTTTTTCCTTTGTTTTTGTTTTATTTCCTTGGCAATTTCTATCTTTCCATACTGCTTGAATTTCTAATCGTGGACATGCGTTAATCTCTTTTTTTAAGTGTTGGAAAAATGTCAACGACTAAAGCAACTTAGATATTTTAAAGCCAACTATAGATATGTTCTTCATCCATAAAAAGTTAAAGAAAATTGATTCTGGGAATGTAGATGTTAAATAAAAACAGAGTACAGGGCCTCCCTGGTGGCGCAGGTGGGTGAGCATAGCGCTGTGAAGCTGTATGCAGCCTCTGCAGTGCCTGTTCGATCCCCGCCAGCCTCGGAGATACCCACATGGCGCAGCAGACATCTCCTGTTCGCCTGCTGCTCTCCTCAGCAGTGTGTTTCCATCCATTTGCCTGTTCTGTTCCCCGCTTTCTCTAGGGTGAATTCTCTCACCCTCCCACACATCTGGCTTGTACCCTGGTTCTTGTATAAAAATAAATAAATCTTTAAGAAAAAAGAAAAAAACAGAGTACATACCTCAGGAACAACAACAATGCTCATTTTATTTAAATATCTAATAAAGGAAAAGCAGGCTTTTCCAAAAGTCAATCTTATTTCTGTAGGGACCGAAAACAGGACCATGACCTTCCTAACACTCAATTTTTCAATGCTCTCTTCTCTATACTCTGTAGAAAATCGTATTTTTCCAAGACTGAATCTCACACATTCATATAAACATATGCACATGTATATAAATTTATATAATCTTTGATCTGCAATTATGCTTACATTTCTTTTCTTTTTTTTTTTTAAATCTTTTTTTAAAATGTATTTTTATTTATTTATACAAGCACTGGGTACAGTCAGAAGCGCGGGAGGATGAGAGAATTCACCAGAGCCGGAGCGGGGAGCAGAGCAGGCAGAAGGACCTAAGTACACCGCTGAGGGGAGCAGCGGGCGGCAGGAGAGGTCTGCGCGCCATGTGGGACCCTCCTCTGGTGGCCGGGGAGCAGCCAGGGATCGAACCAGCGCTGCAGAGACCGCGGGCAGCTTCGCAACCCAGCGCTCAACCGCTGTGCCACCGGGGAGGCCCTGCTTACATTTCTTGAACACACGTATCCCATGCTTGCATCCCATTTGAGTTACACAAGACAAGAATGTCAACCGTACTACATACAGAGGGCTGCACATGGTGGACAGATTTTAAACATGAACAAGGACACCAAGGAGACCTCAAATGAGCCAGGTGACTCTAATAACTGGAAGGGCCAAGGGCAGACCATTTTCTCCCCACAGGGTGTTATTTTCCACCCCGCAGATAAAACAGCATTCTCCAAAGAGCAGAAGTGCTCCACAAGTTCCTTAGAGGCACCAGGGTGATGGTTGAAACACAAAGTCAGAGCAGGACAGCTGACAATCTCAAGATCCGTCAGTAGACATGAAACAACTGCATGTTCCCTGAAGGTGAAAACAAGCAGCCACGCCTCTCACACCAAGTTAGCATAATCATTACCAATTTGATGAAGGCATCCCGCTGTTTCCTGGACTATTCATTTATTATGTGGACTTTTCAGTGATCAATGGGGGCAGAATAAAAATCAATAGCATTTTTTTTGCCTTTTTGTTTGTTTGTTTTGCCCTTTCAACCTAACAAGCTAGAGCAGGCTTATCACCAAACACAGTGACAGATGTGAGGGAGAAGGGACAGCGTGTATTATTAACTGGACGCATGTAGGAAGGGGAAGGGACACAGTGCTTGTGTGTTTTAGAGTAGTAGCTTAGAATATTTCAGAATACAGCTGCATCTATAAAGAAAGAGAACGAGAGGTCTGCATGGAACCAGGAGAGGAACTGCATCACACTAAGCTCCCAGTGGAGTCTCGCACTGTGCTAGGGGACTGGCTAAAGCACACCCAACCAGTGTGGCTCCTGTTTACCCCAAAGGAAGGACAGAGAAAAAAAGAAAGCCCTGGTCAGTGAAGTGGGTGTTGAAATACAAAGCACCTGAAGAGCAGAAAGAGGCAAATGGGAAACAATGTCCTGTTATTTTAAAAGTCTCCAGATCTGTACCCTGAGAACAGTAACTCCATCCGGATACATAAAGGAGCTTCGTAAGGAGCGCCAGGAGAACAGAACAAAAGATTACAGCATTACTGTTTATGCCAACCAGCAGGAACCCACCCAAATGCTCATCAAAAGAACTATGATCTATCCATTCAATCAAAGTCTACCCACCAGTGAAAATATTTCAAGTAGAGCCGCCATACAACAGATGATTCTGACTTAATACTGAGTCAAAATACACACACACACACACGAAGTCACAGCACATACAGTCATAAAGTTCAAGAACACTCAAAACTCTAAATACTGTTTAGAGATGTACATATGTAGTAAAACTATTTTTAAAAGACAAGAGAAATGATAAACACTACTCCGAAGAGTGTTTACCTTTGTGAGGGGAAGAAGGGGATGTGGTCAGGAAGGGCACCCTGAGGGCTTCAATGCAACTGGTAATGCTCCATTTCTGAAGCTGAGTCAAGTGTAGAGATGGACTTTTTTAAAATATCCTCCTCAGATCTCTCTACACACATCTCTCTGTAATGTTCATAGGTGTATATATATCTCCATATACAAATAGACAGACAAAATTTTATATGCACAGAGTAATTTAAAATGAAAGGGAAAAAAGAAAAACAGTGTTGAGGGCAAAGCCAGACATAGCTGCCTGGCTGCTGGCACTTACACATCCACCTGCCTACCGCTGGTCTAAGCAGTGAGCCCAAGATCTGAAGGCAGCAGAATCAACTCAGTCTAGTGGTGACAAGATCACCTCCAGGCACTTCTCACTGGGCCAAACCAGCTCCAGGGTCTCTTCAAGGGGTAAACTGTGAGACACGACACGCTCTCGCCGAAGAGCTGGAGAAAGGCTGCCCTGCCCGTACAGAAACGGCAAAGAGCCCAAACTCGGGCATATTTTCCCCACGGAAGGAAAGTCCCAGATGGCTGCAGCCGACAGCGGAATGGCCGGCACTGGGGGAAGGCGGGAGCGGGGGCGCCCGCAGGCCGCGGGAACGTGTGAACAGCGACGGGAGGGGCTGAAGACGCGCTCGAGGCCCCGCGAACCCACTCCCGGCGCGCAGCGGCGAGGCGGGGCGGGGCGGGCGCTCGCGGGAGCCGGGCATGTGCGCCGCGGCCCGTCCAGACCCCGGGCGGCGACGCCGGCGAGCGGGCACCTGCCGAGCAGACGGGGCCTCGGCGCGTCAGGGCGGCCCCCCCACCCCGGGGACGCGCGCGGCCCGCGGCGCCGGCGGGGCAGGGGCGCCGCCAGGAAGGCCGGGCTGGGTCTGCGCGGGGAGAGCAGGCCCGGCCGGGCGCCCGCGGCCCCGCTCCGGGAGGGAGGAGGGCGGTCCCGCCCCGGCCAGGGGGGCGGCCGGGGAGGGCGGGGCCCGGCAGCAGGGGTCTGGGAGCCGGGCCCGCGGGGGGCTGGCGGGGCGGGGCCGGGGCCGGGGCCGGGGCGGGGGCGCGGGCAGGGAAGGCGGGGCCGCGCGGCGCCGCCCGCCGCTCACCTGGGCACGCAGCTGGCCGAGCTCCGGTCCACCTCCCAGGTGGCGTACAGGTTCATCTGCACGGGGGCGGGGGTGCGGCCTGGCCCCGGGCCGCCGGGAGGCGCGGAGCCCGAGGCCACCGCCACGGCCGTGGAGGTGGAGGTGGACGAGGACGAGGACGAGGCGGCCGCCGCCGAGGTGGACGAGGACGACGAGGCGGCCTGGGCCAGCTTGGGGGGCGTCGGCTGCTGGGGCGGCGGCTGCTGAGGCGGCGGCGGCTGCGGCGGCGACTGGGCGACCCCGGAGCCCCGCTGGCCGCTGCCGCCCCCGGCGCCTCCGGGCCCACCGCCCGGCCCTCCGCGATCCGCCATGGCGGGGCCGGGCTCGGGGGGCGCGGGGGTGACGGGGATCGAGGCGGCGCCGAGCGGACGCCCAGCTTCGGCGGCGGCGGCGGGGGCTCGCGCGTCTCCTCAGCCCGTCTCCTCAGCCCGCCCGAGCGCGCGAGCGAGCGAGGAGAGGCTGCACGCACGCGCGGGGCCTCGCGGCGCGCGGTCCTCGCGCTCGCCGGCCGCTGCCTGTTGCGGCCCGCGCCGCCGCCACCGGGTGGGCGTGCCGGGGGCGGGGCGTCCGGGCTCGCGCCGGCCCCACCCAGCGCCGGGGCGGGGCCAGCGCGGCCCCGGGCTCGCGCGCGCGCCCCCGGCGGGCCTGTGGGCGCGCGCCCTGCCGCCAGGTGGGGGTCTGCGCCGGCGCACGTGCGGCCGGCCCGGGCCCTCAGGCCGCGACGCGACGGGCTGCGCTCCCGCACGTCCTCCCCTCCCCCTCGTCCTCGGCCCGCCGCTGCCCGGCCGGCGGAAACCCCGCTTTTCCGGGGCGCGGCCCCGGCCGGGATGGGTCTGCCGCGGGAGCGCGCTTCTCTCCCCCCCCCCCCAACACCCCCCCCCCGCCCCGCGTTTGCGCAAATGAGGCAGAACCCGCTGCCCGCGCCGGGCCCCTTCCCTGGACTGGGCTTTCTTCCTGCGACCAGCCGGTGGACGGCGAGGACCCAGCGGCCGACCTCCGCCACGAGCGAGGCAGGGGCCGTGGGCCGGGAAGTTCCCGCCCCTGCCGCTCCCCGCGAGGCCGGGCTCCGGCACCTGGAGCCCAAAAGGCCCCGGGCTCGGGTGACTTGCGAAGCTCAGCCCTGGCCCATCTGGAGCCAGCGTTTCTCCTTTGTCCCTACAGCCTCCCTCTCCCGCAAGAACCACTAGTCCCAGGCTCCTCATTTCTGCCAGCAAATTCCCATACCTAGAATGTTTTCTCTGCTTCGTCACCTACTCCATTTCTTAAACTCCGTTCCTCCCAACACCTCACGCAACTGCCAGTCCCTCGGTGGGTGCCTGGGTGGGTGCCCTTGGGTGCACTTGCACCAGCACCAGTACAGCTGCTGTCGGCAACTGTTTTTTCTGGCCCTGGGAAGTGCCTGCTGGACTCAGCCACCAACCTGGCCTGGCCTGTCAGGAAGACCAGGGGTCACTGGGCCTAGAACTTGAAGTAACCCCCTCCCACACGCACCAAAACCTGGAGACTGGTTGGTTTAAACTTTCCAGGGGTCACAGGACTCAGGACAATGTAGATTTTGACCTCTGTGCTCTTGGGCTAAGGACTTAGGCTCTTCCAGCCACAAGTTCTGCTAAGAAGTTCTGACCTGGCCTACTTCGCAAGCCCACTGGACTTTCTCAGCCCAGGCCAGGTGCTAAGCTGGCTATTTTTACTCCCCAAGGACAAAGTAGTAAGGACAATCCACACCCGGATTGAAAGGCCGGCAGCAGGAGTCCCAATTCCAGCGAGGTTTTGGCTTCATCACCAGTCTCAACTGCAGGGTCTGACCTAGGCACAAGCCCCTGCTCATTGGGGCCGCTCGGAAAGGGCGATGGAGATGGAGCATTGGGAGTGTGACACAGTCATTTCTTTCCTTGGGAAACAGCTTTATTTACAAAACAGGTCTAAAATAAGAACATGAAATGACAAGCCCTTAGGAACTGTGGGAGGGCTGGCTCTTGGGGACCCAAGTGTGGAACCCAGGCGTCCAGGCAAAGGGCCTAAAGAAGGACTGATGTGTGAAGGGGACCTAAAATTTGAACTCCTTATATTTCTTGCTGCCCCCGCGGCTGTCCTGGGGCTGAGCTTTTCGTTTCTTTTGCTGTAGAAGATGAAAGACAAACAGGTTACCACACGTTACGCACCGATTCCCAAACCAAGACTGAGCAGGCTGACAGAGACACGCAGGTCTGGAAAAGAGCACTAAGACAAGAATCCCTTCTCACCGCTGTTTCAGGTCCTTCCCCCTGTACCTCAGTTTCATTACACTTAGAGGACCCCCCTCCCATCCCCACCCCCAGCCATTTCTAAGGCTTCCAGTACCAAGGAAGCTCAGGGCAGCAGGCTGTTTTCACCCTCATTCTTGCCACTACAGGACACCTCTCCACTGAAGGAGACCCTCGTCCCTGGTTCCCACTTAGGGGGCCCCATGTGAGCACCTACCTTCTGTTTGGCAGCATGCTCAGCCACCATGTCGCTGAAGTCTTCCTTTTCCACCTGTGCCTGCTGCTCCCGCACATGCTCCTCATACTTCTGGGTCATGGCCATGGGGTCCAGCTCCAACTCTTCTGGTGCCAGGGCCACTTCTACACCTTGTAGCTCGGGGGCCGGCCCCTTCCGGCTCATAACCTGGAGGAGAGATCAGAGCCTTGTCATTGCCAAAGAGGCGCAGAAACCCTAGGTTCTGGCCTCCCCAAGTCTCCCGAAGCAGTGCCTCCAAGTACTCACCGTGGACATGTCATAGATGTGGGTTGATCCCATCATGGCGCCCCCGACAGTGGCTGTTCTCTTCTCTGGCAACACAGTGAACAGCTGAGGAGTCTCACTTCTGTAAAGAACAATGGGGTCAAACCCAAAAAGGAAGGGACAAGAGTCTTCAAAAGGGGCAGCACTTCCACCCAGCTCCCCTTAGAGGTTCCCAGATACCCAGAGGGAAAAATGATGTTCAAGCTGCCGCTACAGGCCATGGAGACCCAGGAGAGGAGTTGTGGGTCCATGGGGAGAGGGGCAGGGCCCTGTTTATTGCAAAGAATCCAGTAAGAAAGACCAGAAGACCAACACCCCGCCAGACCAGGACTGCATCCCCACCTAATTCCCCGGAAGAGATGACACTCTTCTCCCACAGCAGCCAGAGCGAATACCTTGAAACACCTCATCCCCTTTCACTCCTCTGCCCAACATCCATCGAGTCTTCTGATCATTACTTGAATAAAATCCAAACTCCTTACAATGACCTAGAGGGCTCTTAAGCTCATGAGCTGATCTTGATTCACCATACTCTAACCTTCATTCTTTTTTTATAAACATTTTCTTTCTTTTTTTTTTTTTTAAAAAAGATTTATTTATTTACTTATACAAGCACTGGGTACAGTCAGAAGCGCGGGAGAATGAGAGAATTCACCAGAGCCAGGGCGGGAGCAGAACAGGCAGAAGGACTGAGGTACACTGCTGAGGGGAGCAGTAGTCCAGACAGGAGAGGTCTGTCGAGCCATTTGGGACCCTCACCCGGCGGCCAAGGATCGAACCGGCACTGCAGAGGCTGCGGGCAGCTTCGCAGACCAGCGTTCAACTGCTGTGCCACCGGGGAGGCCCTCTAACCTTCATTCTTGTTCTTTCTAGAACACACAAAACTTGAGACCTCTGCTTCCAGACAAGGAGTAACAGAGACTAGATGCACCTGTCCCATAACCCAAAAAAAAAAAAAAAAAAAGAGCAAGCAAAGTATATGAAACAGTAGTTTTCATGTCACTGGATGTGAAGCAACAGAGCACAGTGATTTCTGAAACAGGAAACAAATGAGGTGAGTCTGTTGACTGCTCAGCCCACTGCACGGGGAGTATGTGGGCCACAGAGCAGAGGCGGTGTAGAGCCCAAGGGACACCATGGGCTGAGGGGCTGATGCCGAGGGTGCAGGGAGACCAAGACAACTAGAGAGTATAGAGAGGCAGGGCACACACTCAAAACCTACAGGGGGCCCTCCCAGGACTCTGGTGAGGATGGCGTGTGAGGAAACCGCAGAGGCCAGGGAAATACCCAATGGATTAGTAGTAACAGTGTTGGCCTCTCTCAGGATTGAGAATAGTGCCTGTTCCACTGGCCAGAATGAAAAACCTCCTGCCTTGTGGGCAACAGGGGAAGTGCACAGAAGGGTCCCCACTCTGCTGGAGAAGACTGAACACTGCTTCTGTCCTGACTGAAGAATCTGAAAAGCAAGAGCTGAAAGGCTTAAATAGTTTCCAGTTCCCTTAATAGAGGTAAGACTTACAATGCAAAAGCATCCTGAGCCCCCAACAAGGTAAATTTCACAAGTGTGGCATCCAATCAAAAATTGATATGCAAAGAAACAGGAAAATAGAATCCTTAATGAGGGGGAAAATCAGTCGATTTAAATGAACCCAGAACTGGCAGAGATGTTAGAATTAGCAGGCAAGTATGTGAAAATGTTGTTATAACTGCACTCCATCTGTTCAAAATGTTAAATTAAGAGACACAGAAGATATAAAAAGACCCAAGTCACACCCCTAGGGTGGAAAAAGTACACAGAGGATGGGATTAATGTCAGATTAGAAATTGAAAAAAAAAAGCAAACCAGAAGACACAGGAATAGAAACTTTCTAAAATAAAAACACACCCCAAAATCTTTATTTTAAATTAACATAGCAGCAGGATGACTTCACGAGAGATCTGCATGTACAATAGGTGCACAGACGGAGCTGCCACAGGATAGAGAAGGGAAGGTAAAGAGCATTTGGAAATGTGATCCAGGAACAGCAACCACCGTGAGCCCGGTATCCAGAGCCTAATGAAGCCCAAGCCAGGAGACAGGACACATGCTGAGCAGCGGGTCAGGCTATCCCCAACAGGCATGGGGAAAATCTTATAAAGTGCCAGAGATAAGTGGTACGTGTACACAAAGAAACACGGCAAAGATGATGACAGATCTCCTATCAGAAACAAAGCAAGAAAGAAGACACTGGAACATCAGTAAAGTAAAACACAGTTAACCTGGACTGCTACGCCAGGCAAAAATTCTTCCAAAACAAAGGCCAAGTGAAGCCATTTTTAGACCACACAAGCTTCAAGAATTCCTGACCAATATACGCACACTACGGAATGCTGCAGGAAGCCTTTCAGGCAGATGGAAAATGATACCAAATGGAAACCCGAATAAGACAAAGAAAGAGAAGACTGGGCATGGGGATTATGTGGTTATGATTTTTATTGTTTAAATTGTGCTAAAAGATAGTTCACCATTTAAACAAAAATAATAACTACGTAGCGTATATATAGACTCTAACAGGTAAGTAAACTGTGTGACGATAGTGCCAAAGCCAGGGAGAGAAGTAGAAGTTACCACTGTCAGGGTCTTACTACTACCCAGAAGTGGTATAATATCACTTGAAGACAGACTGTGGTACAGATAGATGGGTAGTATAAACCCTCAAACAACCGCTAAGACAACAAAACAAAACCTTACAGCTAATAAGTCAACAAAGAAGATAAAATGGAATCAAAGTATGCGCTGT